CTCTAGATCTTGAAACAAACCCTGGAAACACACCAAAAAAGAACCTCTTTAAAGCATAAATCTCACATGACCTACAAAACAAACACAATTTTTAAAAAAGGTATACAGGCAACAAATAGCATGATGAATGGAATGGTATCTCACATCTCAATACTAACATTGAATGTAAATGGCCTAAAGTAGCTCCACTTAAAACACACAGAATTGCAGAATGGATAAGAATTCACCAACCAACAATCTGCTACCTTCAAGAGACACACCTAACACATAAAGACTCACATACTTAAGGTAAAGGGATGGAAAAAGACCTTCCATGCAAATGGACACCAAAAGCGAGCAGGGGTAGCTATTCTTATCTCAGACAAAACAAACTTTAAAGCAACAGCAGTTATAAAAAAGACAAAGAGGGTCATTATGTAATGATAAAAGGCCTTGTCCAACAGGAAAATATCACAATCCTAAATATATATGCACCTAACATTGGAGCACCTAAATTTATAAAGCAATTACTAATAGACCTATGAAATGAGATAGCAACATAATAATAGTGGGAGACTACAATAGTCCACTGACAGCACTAGACAGGTCATCAAGACAGAAGGTCAACAAAGAAACAATGGCTTTAAAGTATACCCTGGTACAAATGGACTTAACAGGTATTTACAGAACATTCTACCCAACAACCACAGAATACACTTTTTATTCAACAGTGCATGGAACTTTCTCCAAGATAGACTATATGATAGAGGCCACAAAATGAGCCTCAATAAATTCAAGAAAATTGAAATTATATCAAGTTATTTCAGACCACAGTGGAATAAAACTGGAAATCAACTCCAGAAGGAACCTTCAAAAACATGCAAATACATGGAAATTAAATAACTTGTTCCTGAATGATCACTGGGTCAAAAATGAAATCATGATGGAAATTTAAAAATTCTTCAAACTGAATGACAATAGTGACACAACCTATCAAAACTTCTGGGATATAGTAAAGGCAGTGCTAAGAGGAAAGTTCATAGCCCTAACTGCTTACATCAAAGTCTGAAAGAGCACAGACAGACAATCTAAGGTCACACCTCAAGGAATTAGAGAAACAAGAACAAACCAAGTCTGAACCCAGCAGAAGAAAGGAAATAACCAAGATCAGGGCAGAACTAAATGAAATTGAAATAACAACAACAAAAATACAAAAGATAAATGAAACAAAAAGCTGGTTCTTTGCAAAGAAAAATAAAACTGATAGACCATTAGCAGGATTAACCAAGAAAAGAAAAGAGGAAATCCAAATAAGCTCTATTAGAATCGAAATGGGAGATATCACACTGACACCACAGAAATACAAAAGATAATTCAGAACACCTTTATGGGCATAAACTGGAAAACCTAGAGGAGATGGATAAATTCCTGGAAAGATACAACCTTCCTAGCTTAAATCAGGAAGAATTAGCTACTCTGAACAGTCCAATAACAACCAGTGAAATTGAAATGGTAACAAAATTACCAACAAAAAAAAGTCCAGGACAAGACAGATTCACAGCAGAATCCTACCAGACATTCAAAGAAGAATTGGTACCAATCCTACTGACACTATTCCACAAGATAGAGGAAAAGGGAACCCTCGCGAAATCATTCTATGACACCAGTATCACCCTAATACCGAAACCAGGAAAAGACATAACCAAAAAAGAAAACTACAGACCAATATCCCTGATGAACGTAGATGCTATAATCCTCAACAACGCACTAGCTAACTGAATCCAACAACATATCAAAAAGATAATCCACCATGATCAAGTGGGTTTCATACCAGGGATGCAGGGATAATTAAAATACACAAGTCAATAAATGCGATACACCACACAAACAGAATCAAAAACAAAAATCACATGATCATCTCAATAGATGCAGAAAAAGCATTCGATAAAATCCAGCATTCCTCTATGATTAAAACTCTCAGCAAAACTGGCATACGAGACATATACCTCAATGTAATAAAAGCCATCTATAACAAACCCACAGCCAACATATACTGAATGGGGAAAAATTGAAAGCATTCCCTCTGAGAACTGGAACACGACAAGGATGCCCACTCTCACCACTCCTCTTCACCACAGTACTGGAAGTCCTAGCCATAGCACTCAAACAAGAGAAAGAAATAAAGGCATCCAGATTGGTGAAGAAGTAGTCAAACTGCTGCTGTTCGGTGATGATATGACTGTTTATCTAGAAAACCCTAAAGACTCATCCAGAAAGTTCCTAGAAGTGATAAAATAATTCAGCAAAGTTTCCAGATACAGAATCAACGTACACAAATCAATAGCTCTTCTATACACCAACAGCAACCAAGCTGAGCATCAAGTCTAGAATTCAACCTCTTTTACAATAGCTGCAAAAAAAAGAAAAAATACTTAGAAATATACCTAACCAAGGAGGTGAAAGACTTCTACAGAGAAAACTACAAAACACTGCTGAAAGAAATCACGGATGACACAAACAAATGGAAACACATCTCATGTTAATGGATGGGTAGAATCAGTATTGTGAAAATGACCATACTGTCAAAAGCAATCTACAAATTCAACACAATTCCCATCAAAATACCACCATCATTCTTCACAGAACTAGAAAAAACAATCGTGAAATTCATATGGAACCAAAAAAGAGCCCACATACCCAAAGTAAGACTAAGCAAAAAGAACAAATCTGGAGGCATCACATTACCTGTTTCAAACTATAAGGCCAGAGTCACCAAAACAGCATGGTACTGGCATAAAAATTGGCACATAGACCAATGGAACAAAACAGAGAACTAAGAAATAAACCCTAATACTTACAGCCAACTGAACTTCAACAAAGCAAACAAAAATATAAAGTGGGGAAAGACACCCTCTTCAACAAATGGTGCTGAGACAATTGGCAAGCCACATGTAGGAGAAACAGGATCCTCACCTCTCACCTTATACAAAATCAACTCAAGATAGATCAAAGACTTAAATCTAAGACCTGAAACTATAAAAATTCTATAAAAAAAAGAAGACAACATTGGAAAAATCCTTCCAGACGTTGGCTTAGACAAGAATTTCACGACCAAGCACCCAAAAACAAATGCAATAAAAACAAAGATAAATAGCTGAGACTTAATTAAATGAAAGAGCTTTTGCACAGCAAAAGGAACGGTCAGCAGAGTAACAGACAACTCACAGAATGGGAGAAGATCTTCACAATCTATACGTCTGACAAAAAACTAATATCCAGAATCTACAATGAACTCAAACAAATTAGCAAGAAGAAAAAAAAAAACTCCCATCAAAAAGTGGGCTAAGGACATGAACAGAAACAGTTACAAAAGAAGATATGCAAATGGCCAATAAACATGAAAAAATGCACAACATCACCAAGGATCAGGGAAATGCAATTCAAAACCACAACGCAATACCACCTTATTCCTGCAAGAATGGCCATAATCAAAAAAATTTTTAAAAAATAGATGTTGACATGGATGTGATGAACAGAGAACTCTTCAATACTGCTGGTGGGAATGTAAACTAATACAACCACTATGGAAAATAGTGTAGAGATTCCTTAAAGAACTAAAAGGAACTTGATCCAGCAATCCCACTACTGGTTACCCAGAGGAAAACAAGTCACTATGTGAAAAAGATACTGGCACACATATTTATAGCAGCACAATTTGCAACTGTACAAACATGGAACCAACCCAAATGCTCATCAATCAACGAGTGGACAAAGAAACTGTGGTGTATATGTATACAATGGAATACTACTCAGCCATAAAAAGGAATGAATTAACGGCATTTGCAGCAACTGGGATGAGACTGGAGACGATTATTCTAACTCAGGAATGGAAAACCAAACATCACATGTTCTCACTCATATTTGGGAGCTAAGCTATGAGGATGCAAAGGCCTAAGAAAGACAAAATGGACTGTGGGGACTCAAGGGGAAAGGGTGGGAAGCGGGTAAGGAATAAAAGGTCACAAATTGGGTGCAGCACAGTGTATACTGCTCAGGTGATGAGTGCACCAATCTCTCACAAATCACCACCAAAGAACTTACTCATGTAACCAAACACCACCTGTTCCCCAATAACCTATGCAAATAAAAAAATAATAATTTAAAAAAAGGAATGATACACTTAGGTTTGAGTATCTGGAATCAATTTCTTGAGTTTTCAAAAGTGTCAATGTATAAATAAGTTGTACATCAGTACCCAGTTTCCATTAAATGAAACAAATTTATGAAACTCTATTATTGATTTATTCAACTGTTAAAAACCAAATGTTCTGCAATGTAAGGCAATATGCCAAGCCCAGTAGGCTGATATAAGGCACACTACCTAACCATAAGGAACTTACATTAAGCACACCTAATCCATTATTACCTCTCTAATAGGCCTCCCTCTTTTTCCCTATGTCTTTGCTGAGATGGTAGCACGGATATTTTCAGTTAAAGTCCATTCCTTGGATCTTTATTTGCCCACTATTAAATCAGGTTTCATAGGATAGTTAACATAAAGAGATCCTGGATATTAAAAAGCATTCCATCCATGAGGAGTAAACTATACAGTTTCAAGAATACAGGGATCTTTGATCTCTCATTAGACCATGAGACTGGGTCTTGAATCTGCCAAATTTTTATCTCCAGTATTTAACTGGAGTAACTGGCACAGAATAGGCACTCATAAATGCTTGCTGAATGACTGACTTGAACCAAAAAGATTGTTGGATTAACTGTGTAGCCACAAGTACTTAATACATAGGCTCTCTACGTTCTACTAAAGACAGTTCTATGAAGACAAATCAAAGTGAATGCTCCTAAGTACTCTTGAAACTCCTGGTTCATTAACTTAACCCTGGAGACACAAACATAGTAACCTGAAATTTTATGTGGTTTTCTACATTTTTTGCATGACATAGTTTTACAAATAGCTACAGTTCAGAATCAGAATAATAAGCATGCATAGCATAGTACAATACCTTTCAGTTTAACTGCCACATCAACATAGGATTGCAAAAATGCCATGGATACTGCTTGCCCTACATGAAAATGAAAAATTCAACAGATATTACTGAGTATCTCCAAAGCATCCACACTGATACGTAACAAATATACAGATTTATGAGGTTTCCCAAAATTATTGTTAATCAGAAATATTCTACTATACATTTCTTAACATAGTCCAACCACTTACGAGTTTCAAAAGCAACTGATTTTCCGCACTTGTACTGCAAGGAATATAGCTAAATAGCTATGATTTGAAGATAAAAGCAATACACTCACTATAAATCTATAATAACTTAATATGTTAAAATCATTAGTGTGAGTCACAATTTTTCAAAATTAATGAACATCTAGTTTAATCATTAACCTTTAATTTGTAAATCAGATATAAATAAATTGCACAATCCCAGAATCAGAAGTAAATGCTTCCATGCACACAGTCTACTTGAGACATACGAAAGCAATTTCATTTTACAACGTGCAATACATGGAATGCCAAAAATTAAATCTGTGTTTTTAAATGTCCTAATATGTAATAGTCTCCTCTAAAGGGTCATACTCACAACCAGCATAGAAGAGTACTATGCTGTCAGAAGCCATCACTGTTGCATTAAATGTTTCTTCTGTTAGTTCCACTGTGAGTTCCAAAGGTAATTTTCTCTTCCTATCTCTGAAAACAGTTTCTGCCACTTCATCATCCTGAACATCTGAAATGTTGGAAAAGAAATTAATTTAAATATTGATGTATAATGAAAACTATTTAAGCTCTTCTCATAGGAAGCATGTAAGAATTCAGTACTTTATACAAACTTTTGAATTCATCCTATCTTAATAGTTAGGATGCATGATATTTTAAAAACTTTCCAGTTGCTTAACTGACGCTGAGATGCTTCCTGACCTAGAAGTTGTAAAGTTTTAGTCAATTTCAAAATTAAAACTTGTTCTACAAAGAATATTAATAGTGCTGTTTTGTTTATGTTGCCTCTACTATATGCCAAGCATTGTGACAGGCACTAGGAAAACTGGTAAACAAAACAGACATAGTCCTGACCACATGGAACTTCTATCTATGGAAAAGTCAGATAAACTGATCACTGAATAAACATATAATTATAAATTATGACCAATTTGTGAAGAAAGGTAAAAGATACACTGAGAGATTATATAACAGGGCTATTTAGATTGGGAAGCCCAAAATCTGCCAGGTAGAGAATCAAGAAAAGAATGTTTTAGACAAAGAGAATTACATATGCAAAAGCTCTGAGACATACAAGAGTTTAGCACATACAAGGCTGAGAGAAGGCAAATTTGACTAAGACAAGATGGGGCTGAAGGAATAAACAGCATGAGAAAACTCTAGGCTAGGCAGTGGCTAGATCATAAGAGGTCACATGAGACAAGAAGTCTGGATTTTATCCAAAAAGCATCAAGTTATGAGTGGATTCTGAATATGTGAAAACTCTTCCTTAATTTAGACAGACCAATCAATAGACTGATAGATCCATCCATCCATCCATCCATGTATCTTCAAAAATACATTTGGATTCATAAATATTCTGTTGGAAGTTTGCAGAGATTGTATGGTAACACAGATGGAGCATATAACTTGACTAAAGGATAAAGCTTCTTAGAAGAGTTGATACTACCTGAATATGAAAAGAAAAAGAAAACTCAGGTAGGCAGAGAAGAAAGGCAGTGGTGGCATAAAGAGCAAAGAGAACGGCATGAGCAAAGGCACAGTGGCATGTAACAGCATGGTGCAATCGGAAGTTCAAACACTGACTGGATATATGATGATAATAAGAATTGTTAATTTTTTAGATGTAGTAATAGTATTAATTATGTTAATATTAAAAATGAAAATCTTGTATTTCTGAAACCCAGGGAAATACTTACAGATGAAATCTTATGTTTGGGACTTGCTACAAAACAGTAAGAGGTAGGGGGTGACTGGAGCAGGATTAGCCATGGTTTGATAATGTGAGGCCAAGTAATGGATAACAAGAATTTGTTCTATTATTCTATCTCCTTTACGGTATGTTCATAATTCTCTGTAACAACACACTAAAAAGAAAGAAGGGAGAAAGAATACATTCATAGAACTAAAGTATTGTTTTATACATAATTTCTAATACAGTCACACACCACATAATGATATTTCAGTCAACAAGAGACCACATATACAACTGTAATCCCTTAAGATCATAATGGAGCTGAGAAATTCCTATCATCTGGTGATGTAGTGGCCACTGTAGCATTGTAGCACAACACATTACTCACATGTTTGTGGTGATGCGGGTGTAAACAAACCTACAGTGAGTCATATAGCACATAAGGCCAGGCATGGTGGCTCACACCTGTAATCCCAGCACTTTGGGAGGCCGAGGTGGGTGGATCACTTGAGGTCAGGAGTTCAAGGCCAGCCTGGCCAACATGGTGAAACTCTGTCTCTACTAAAAATACAAAACATCAGCCGGGCATGTTGGCACATGCTTGTAATCCCAGCTACTTGGGAGGCTGAGGCAGAAGAATCACTTGAACCCAGGAGGTGGAGGTTACAGTGAGCCGAGATTGCACCGCTGTACTCCAGCCTGAGCGACAAGAGCAAAGTTCTGTCTCAAAAAAAAAAAAAAAAGTATAGCACATACAATTACGTACAGTAAATAATACTTGATAATGATAATAAAGGACTAGATTATTGGTTTATATATTTACTATACTCTTATCATTAGAGTGTACTCCTTTCACTTACAAAATAAAAAGTTCACTGTAAAACAGCCTCAGGTAGGTCCTTCAGGAGGCGTTCTAAAAGAAGGCATTATTATCATAGGAAATGACAGCTCCATGCTTGTTACTGTCCCTGAAGACCTTCCAAAGGGACACAATGTGGAAGTGGAAGCGGGTAATATGGATGATCTTGACCCTGTATAAGCCTAGGCTGATGTGTGTTTGTGTTTTTGTTTTTAGAGAAAAGTTTAAAACGTAAAACGTAAAAGTTTTAAATGGGAAAAAAAGCTTATAGAATAAGGATATAAAAAAAGAAAATATTTTTGTACAGCTGTATGATGTGTTTGTGCTTTAAGTTAAATGTTATTACAAAACAGTCAAAATGTTTTTAAAAATTGTAAAAATGTATAAAGTAAAAAAGTTATAGTAAGCTGAAACAAATTATTGAAAAAAATTCATAAATTTAGTACAGCCTAAGTGTACAGTATTTATGAAGTCTACAATCATGTAATGTTCTAGGCCTTTACATTCACTCACTGACTTACCCAGAGCAACTTCCAGTCCTGTAAGCTCCATACATGGTATGTACCCTATACAAATGTACCATTTTTTATCTTTTATACCGTATTTTTACTGTACCTCTTCTATGTTTACACAGGTTTAGATACATAAATATCTACCACTGTGTTACAGGTACCTACAGTATTCAGTACAGTAACATGCCTAGGTTTGTGGCCTAGGAGCAATAGGCTAGACCATACACCCTAGGTGTGTAATAGGCTACACCATGTACGTTTGTGTAAGTGAACTTTATGATGTATGCTCAATGAAATTACCTAATAATGCATTTCTCAGAAAGTATCCTCATTGTTAAGAGACACATGACCATACTATAAATTAAAATTCTAGATCTGGATTTCAACACAACCTCAGCCATTTTCTAACTGTACGACTCTAGTCAATCACATAACTCTCTGGGCCTCAATGTTCAACTCTTGTGAAGCATGAGAGTTGCACTATATAACTTTAAGGTACTTATAAGCACCAAATTCCATGACACTAAAAAATTACATTCTCAATACCAAAATTAGCAAAGACCTATTTTCTTATTTACCACATTTTTTCTTGTTATTCATATATTTTCATTTTCCTGTCAGTCTTCTCTGTTTCTTTTTCCTCCTTTCCCTCTCTTCTTATATTCTAATAAGCTACCATCACTTGTAAATTTAGTCACTCCTCAGCTCTACCTTCCACCTATTCATTAATAATATACACACTATTTTCAGTCTTTTTTTTTTTTTTGAGACAGGGTCTCACTCTGTTGTCCAGGTTGGAGTGCACTGGCACGATCTCAGCTCACTGCAATCTCCATCTCCTGGGCTCAAGCGATCCTCCCACCTCAGCCTCCCAAGGAGCTGGGATTACAGGCACATACCACCATGCTTGGCTAATTTTTGTATTTTTTGTAGAGATAGGGTTTTGTCATGTTGCCCAGGCTGGAACACAGGCTTCTTTCCTTTTGCCCTTTTGTGGAACCAGTGTTTTTCATTCTGATTCCATTTTGCCGATTTCTCTGGGGTACACCTGTCTCTGATTTACATTCAAAGACGGTAATAAATTCTTTCCTAACCCTCATCTAGTCTTCCTTTGTAAACGGGAGTGATACAAAGGGAGGGGGAAGAATTATATATGGGCACAACACCATACAACATTCTGGGCCAATATGGATTACTGATAATAGGAAGTTAAGATGAAAAATAAACAAAAAAGGCAAAGCTGCAAAAGAAATACTAGAAACAGGCTGGAGGTTATTGAACGTTTCCAACACAAAGAAATGAAAAATGCTTGAACTGATGGATACGCTAATTATCCTGACCTGATCATTATACATTATATGTATTGAAACATCACTATGTACCTCACAAATATGTACAATTATTATTGGTCAAATGAAAAAATAAAAATAAAAACCAGAAAGATAAGGCAGCATCAGAGGGTAAATAAGGCCATAGAGTCAGGAAACAATATAGGGGCTGTGGCCACAAAGAAATCTTCAAACAGGCGACTCCCACTGAAGACAGGAATCAAATAAACTGAGATTGCGGACAAGTCCTCTAACTCTGAAGGTTCAAATACAGGAACCATTACAGGAATAAGCGAGGAAACAGACCAGAACACAGGTCTGCTTATGTAATGACAAGCCCACTGAGAACTCCAGAGAGGAACACAAGCAATTCTAACCCCTGCATATCGGAAAAGAAACCAGAGCTCCACTCAAATCAAGAAACTGGTCATTGTAACAGTGAAAGCTCTTATTAAATTTATAATATAGATTTTGATCACAATGTATGGAGCTCATGAAAATGATATGTAAATTGCTTCCTTCTTGGAGCTTATAATGGTACTATATAAACCACTCAAGTATTTACTATATGGTATACAAAAATGAACAAGACATAATCCTTGATTTAGAAATACTTATAGACTAGTGGAGAAGAGAAAAAAGTAAATGAATAATTACAGAAGAGGATTAATGTTATGAAAGATGTATCAGGAATAATTATTTCACTATTGCCCAATTGTTGCTTTAAAAATATGAAATTTTAGGCCACTAGATTATTTTAGTGAAGTATTCTTGACTGTCATTAATAAATAAGATTTTATTTCAGGATGCTTGAGTTCTAGCCCAGGCCCCACCACCTGCCACTTGTGGGACTTCGGGCGGATCACTGAACTCAAGAAATGCAGACTCATTGCGTACAAAATGAAGGTGGTATCAGCTAACTCAGAGCATAACAATCAAGGTAAATAATATGTGGGAAAAAGCCTTAAAAACCATACAATACTTCATAAATGTAAGCAATAAATTTTTTTAAAAGCTGAAATAACTGTTTAAAAGAAGTGTTAAAATGTTACTGAAAGTTACTCCTTATACCATTAACAACTGGATTTATTTACAAGTACAAATATAACAATATTTATTAGAACTCCATTTCCTAATAAAAATAGTAACAATGAATTATCATGTTGTAGTTTCTAAGTAGAGTTTTTAAACACGGACTAGTCCAGAATGGCTGAAAGAACTGATATGAAAGATGAAGGCACAGACGTGGGAAGTTTGAAGCCTGATATGTAACAGTAAATGCTAATACACTAAACAAAATATAGCATCCTTACATCTGTCAACAAATCAACTTGACAAAATGTGATTCAAAATAAATTCCGCCAGGTTTCTTTACAGAGTCTTAATCTGAATACATTCTTCGAGAAAGTTAATTCATTAGAAATTTCACTGACTTTATGGGTGCTAGGCAGGATAAGGAAGGGATGAGAATCATAACACATTACCTATATCTGGACCTTCCATGTCATCGTCTTCATCTTCTTGTATTTCCTCAATGTGCGTATTATGTTCCACATGAGATATTATTAAATCAACATCATGTAATACCAAAAATTCCACTGGAACTCCCTAGAAATACATTAATTTTTTAAAAATGAATATAGCAAAGTATTTTGACATAAAAATGTTTTACTTGGACCAGGTGTGGTGGCTCACACCTGTAATCCCAGCACTTTGGGAGGTCAAGGTGGGTGGATCACCTGAGGTCAGGAGTTCGAGACCAGCCTGGCCAACATGGTGAAACCCCATCTCTACTAAAAATACAAAAATTAGCCAGGCGTGGTGGCACATGCCTGTAATCCCAGCTATTTGGGAGGCTGAAACAGGAAAATCGTCTGAACCCCAGGAGGAGGTTCAGTGAGGCGAGATTGTGCCACTGCACCAGCCTGGGTGACAGGGTAAGACCAAAAAAACACAAGTTTTACTTGTTTGACACTAAAATAAAACTAAGCCTTTGAACTTCAATTCTAAAACCTAGCAAAACGTAAAAGGAAAGGTAACTCCAAAATTACTATGAAAAGAAAAGCATCCAAAGCACACCTTCTATAAAGACAATGGCTACACTGAAAAAGGTGGCAAAAAAGGTGCTGAAAGCTTCACTTCCTTCTTGTCACAACCACATTATATTGAAGTCTGTAAAACATTTCACATATAACAGCAAGTTCTACTTCTTTATAAAATGAAAATATATATAATTTTACTGCAAATAGAGCAAATCAAAATTGATTATTCCAACATTCCACGGAAATATTCAAAACAATATTCATCTAAATTAATTCCACTAATAAGTTCAATTTCCTGTTTAGCTATAAACAACATTAAATTACTATGTGCTCCCAGTTATTTTAAGAATACCAAATTCTACTGAGATCAATATTACTTAATATTAAAAATATTATTTAAGATTTATTTTACTATTGCCCAAGTGTTACACTTTTAAAATATGAAATTTTAAGCCAAGAGATTATTTTAGCAAAGTGTTCTTGACTGTAACTCTATATTGGAATAAAGCTATGAGCTCTAAGTATGTTTGTTCTTTGCTATCACATATCTTCATTTTTTAACATTATATTCAAAACAAGCAATTTTGATTTCTACAGAAATATAATAAACTTAAAAAGTAGAGGAATCAAAATTAAACTTAATTTGTTCCAAAGATTCACAGAAATTTTTGTAGTAAGAGTAAGCCTTTTAATTAAAGTATAACATTAACACAGAAAAGAACAAAAATTTTAAGTATAGAGTTTGAGGGATTTTTACAAAGTGGACATATTTGTATCACCACCACACAGATTAAGATACAGAACATCATCAGCACACCCAGTGGCCATCTTCTTGGTCTTCCTGTCATTAACATCACCCAAAAGTAATCACTATTCTGTCTTTCATCACTGCTATGGTTTGAATTGTTTTATCTTGTTTATTTTTTTGAGACAGGGTCTCTCTCTCTGTCACCCAGGGTAGACGTGCAGTGGCACAATCACGGCTCACTGCAGTTTCAACCTCTGGGGCTCAAGTGATTCTCCCACCTCAGCCTCCTGAGTAACTGGGACTATAGGCATGCACGACCATACCCAGCCAATTTTTTGTAGAGATGGGGTCTCCCAATGTTGCCTAGGCTGGTGTTGCACTCCTGGGCTCAAGTGATCCACCTGCCTCAGTCTCCCAAAGTGCTAGATTACAGGCATGAGCCACCATGCCCAGCCCAATGTTATTTTAAACAAAACGCAGGATATCTAGCATAATCCTGATTTTGTTTTTTTAAAAAAATACATATAAATATGTGAACATAGGATAAAAACCAGACTGACACATGATAAAAGCATCAAAATGTTAACAGCAATTTTCTTTGAATAGGAGCAATTTATAATTTACAGATTTTTCTATAATAAAATATATTACTTTAAGACCACATATATTAGCTTTCTTTAAATAAACAGATATTGTAGAACAATACATAAAACAACTAACCTTTTCTGCTCTTTTGAAGACCACATTAGCATGCTGAGGAATGTTCACTTCCAAAGAGTCCCTTTTTCAAAATGGAAATAAATGTTTTATGTTGCTAATGTGAAGACTAATAGTCACCCAGGACGTCAATAGAAAACATAACTATATTCTTATACTAAAAATTATGAAAAAATATTACAATTTAGTGACTGAAAAATTTTACACATAAATATAGACCAGATTTTCTAGTCTCCATCTTAATCTCCATCTTCATTTATAACAAGGTTTTAAGTTCTAAGTTTTCATCAACCATAAATGAATGTACGGATTTTAGCATAGCAACTAGTTCTAACTATATTGGAATCCATTAAAGATTTGAGTTTACTTACAAGTGATTAAATTATCAAATTTTAAAACATGGAAACTATTAGTGTTTTGCTAAACATAATAAATATTTGATGTTTAAGATACCTTAACAAGAGCAGAACTCCTGCTTTTCCCAGAAGACGCCAAGCAACCCATTCTGCAGTTCTTCTATCAGCTTCATAAGTAGCCTGTTGGCTAACAATAAACACCAGTGGCAAGCCTAGCTGGAGATGAACAGTTGAAACTTGTTGAGGATCTTCAGCAACTTCAGTCTTCATTTAAAAAAAAAAAAAAGAAAAAAAGTGATAATAATATTCCAACATTTGGATTCAAATTCTCCTAATTCTTATTAATAAAGTCACAAGTAAAAAAAAGTCTGTAAAATAATCCAACACTAACAGAAATGATCTCCTAATTTCCTGAATTTAATGCTCCCAATGTACCTATATAGTTTTGTTTGTTTGTTTTTTGAGACAGAATCTTGCTCTCTCATAAGGCTGGAGTGCAATGGCACAATCACAGCACATTGTAGCCTTAGCCTTCTGGGCTCAAACAATCCTCCCACTTCAGCCTCCCGAGTAGCTGGGACCACAGATGTACACCACCGTGCCTAGTTTTTGTTTTTGTTTTTTTTTTTTTATTTTTTGTAGAGACAAGGTCTCCCTATGTTGCCCAGGCTGGTCTTGAACTCCTGGGCTCAAGTGATCCTCCGGCCTTGGCCTTCCAAAGTGATGGGATTACAGGCATGAGCCATCATGTCTGGACCTCTGTAAGTTTAGGCATTATAAAACTAATAGATTTCATAAGAAGTTAAACCAAAAATTATAATCATAAAGAATAAACATATTACAAACAAACAAAAACAATAAATAAAACTGTGGGACTAATTGATAAATATTTCAAGGGAAACAGAACAGATAACTAAGGAATAAACTTTTTCATATAAGAATTTAACATATAATGACATATTACAAAACAATGAGGAATATCTGAGTTAAAGCAGCAAATTAAATACACACATCTAATTTCACTCCCTTCAGAACTCCCAGGAAAACTACAGCAGTGGGATTTTTAAAAGAGATAAACACACGTATGTCAAGAAGGGAAGAGAAGAAATGGTAGCACAATTTTAGAAGTCAGAATAATAACTGACTTAGGAGATCCTACAAGGCAAAACCCTAAGTCATCAGAGGGAAAACTGCGTTTTAACTACAGGATCCTAAAATTGCTCAGGAACTGTCGGTGTCAGGCATATCTGGACCTGGGAAGGAAATATTGGAAGGGAAGTGGCAGGAAGGCTCTAAAATAAGGAGGAATGTGTCAAAGCTTTTCAGAGGTAGTTAGATCCCTAGATTCCCCTCCCCAACTCTATGAGCTTAAACAACTGTCACTTCCCCACACCAGCAGAAATCTAGGAACAGCTGACAGTGTGGACACCATGCTGAAATCAGGGAGATTAAGTAACCAAATGTTGAGACGTTCGCCTCACCCCAGCTCTCTTTCCACTCAGTTCCCAGAATGCCAGCAGCCAGGCCTTTGTCCTCAATTGGAATTTGTATCCTTTTTGGGGGACTGAGTAACCCCCAAAAGCCTAAAGATACTGACATTGGGATTCGCCAAAAAGCAGGCCAGGCCCAATTACTCTATGGAGCTCTAGGCTCGGCCTTGCTCACCATTTCAGTCTGCTTACTGCCTAAGAGACGTGGACTTCTGCCACTGCTACCTGCACCTTCTCCACTTTCCACCATAGATGTCTCCCAGACAAGACACAACCACACTCCTTGAATTCTCACACAGAGAAAGTGTGAGAATCCGGAACAGTGTTGCCTGCCTCTGCCCCTCCTCCACTCTCCTCTCTTGCTGCCACCCAGCACAGCTGGCTTCAGGGTCCATCTTAGCACTGCTTGGCATTCCCAGGACATTTGAACTAGGCAGGGAGGTGGGGTGTCATGTGGCCAGGTGGCCAGAAGGCACTGGGAAATCCCATGGGATGGTCTGTGAAGATCAGACACATATCAGTCATGGGGCAGAAATGTCAAATACAGCTTACAATGGTGCCACCTTCTCACCATTCCACCTTCCCAACCCTCCTCGGCCCAGTCAGCCAAAGAGGGTCAGTACTATTTTGGCCACATCTCTCAAGTCTCCCCCAACCCCAACTGCCTTGAAGTCTCTGCTCTTTGTCAGAGACTTGCAAAGACTGATGTTTTTGTTCTGTTTTCTCATCATTCCATTGTGATAGTAAGAAACTAAGAAGATTAATGAAAAGGTCAGGCACAATGGCCCATGCCTGTAATCCCAGCACGCTGGGAGGCCAAGACGGAAGACCACTTGAGCTCAGGAGTTCAAGACCAGCCTGGGCTACAAAGCGTGATGCTGTCTCTATTTTTTTTAAAGAAAAAATTAAATAAAAATTTAAAAAGAAGAGTAATGAAGAAATAAGATGTGAACACATCACTGTTACATATGTATACATACATATTTAAAAGTCACCAAATCCCACCAATGTTAGAATTTCCAATCAGTTTTTAGTTTCAAATTCTAAATTGTGAATAGACATCCAAGGATTAACAAACACCTGAGGAAAGCCTCCAACATGAAAGACAGAAACTAGAACACATAGAAAAATAAATAACATAGAGAAAATACAGACTATATGGGAAGAAGAAAGGTTCAGAAACCACCATAGACAACCTTAAGGAGATGGGAAGAAACTGGATCCATAAAGAAATGAAAAATAAAGTTAAATAAATCTCCCAGAAAGCACAACAGAAATAGATGGAAGACAGAGAAAAAAAAGGTAATAAAATTGAAGGACTAGTTCAAGAGGTCTAATATTTAAATAATGCAAGTCACAGAAAAAGAGAAGGGAGAAAATAGAAGAAATCATCACTAAAATAAACACAAAATTTTCCCACAACTGAAGGACACGAGTTGTCAGATTGAAAGAGCCCACTGAATAACCAATAGAGTGGATAAAAGCAGATACAAAGGAAGTTCTCCCAAACTTTCTAATAATTGAACCTTTTTTTTTTTTTAGATAGAGTCTCGTTCTCTCACCCAGGCTGGAGTGCAGTGACAGGGTCTCAGCTCACTGTAACCTCTGTCTCCCAGGCTCAAGCAATCCTCCCATCTCAGCCTCCACCAAGTAGCTGGGACTACAGGCATGTATCACCACGCCCAGCTAATTTTTATATATTTTGTAGAGATGGGGTTTCGCTCGGGCTGGTCTCAAACTCCTGGACTCAGTCAATCCACCCACCTTGGCCTCTCAAAGTGATTCCTATCACCAGGGCATAGGAATCTTGGGAGCTGCCTTAGAAGTCTGTCTACCATAGGTAAGTACAGATATGTAGATAGATAGATATATCTATAGATATATATATATATAGAGAGAGAGAGAGAGAGTACTCAATAACTTGAGTTATTAAGTACTCTTAAGTTATTTTGTCTACCATAAGTAGTCCTGTTCCCTGAACTTTGTCTACCATAGGTAGACAAAATGCTAAGATGGCCCCCAAGATTCCTACCCCCTAGTGAACAAATCTTGTATAATCCCCTCCCCTGAGTGTCAGTAGGACCAGTGGGTAGCCATTCCTTTGGTTAGGTGACATTACATAGGAGTCTGTTGTAGCACACTCAAGTAAGATTCTCCCACTGGCTTTGAAGGAGCAAGCTGCAATGTTGTGAGAGGGCCATGTGGCAAGGGCTTGAGATTAGCCTGTAGGAAATGAGAACAACCCCTGTCCAACAGCCAGCAAGAAAACAGGAACCTGGGTCTTACAACCACAAGCAACCAATTTCTGCCAAAAACCTAGATGAGGGGAATACCCTGAAGGAGTAAAAATGACTGTTTGTTTTTCCTTGTGTATTCGGAGAACTATTAGTAATTCAGTGTTATAAAGCAAAAAGGAGGAAGAATCAGCAAGGCTAGAAATCTGGCAAGGGGCCAGATCATTGAAAGCCACAAATATCCTGCCAAGAAAATGGGGTTTTATTGTGTAAGTAAAGTGAAGCCATTTACGAATTGCATGAAGTCATGATCACATTTTAAAATATCACTCTGTCAGCTTTCAAATGAGATTTCAGATGTAAAATTACATGCAGGAAGATGTAGGGATTAAGAATGTTTTCCCAGATGTCTGCCATCAATGAATGGAAAGTAAGATAACCAAAATAATAGAGAAAGAACCAGTGGTGGTAAAGGACAATACCTTAATGTCACATGTGTTGTGCTTAAGGAGGGATACATCCAATTAACAGTTAGATATATGGGTGGGAGCTCCAAATAAATATGTGACCTGAAAATTCAGATTTGAGAATCCATGTAGTTAATACCACAGAAACAAATGAGATCACTTGAGGGGTGTGCTTTGAGCAACTATCACTGTGTAGCAAAGTACCCTAAAACCTGATACCTTAAAATGTCAAGAATCATTTCTTTTGCTCAAATATGTGTAAGCTCATCTCTGCTTCATGTGGCATCAGTAGGCTATTTCAACTGGAGGCTGAAGATTCTACTTTACAGATGGCTCATGCACATGGCTAACAAGCTGTTGCTGACTATCAGGAGCTCAGCCAGGGCTGTGGTCTAAGGGCCTTGATTCTCCTCTTCGTGGGCTTCTCCTCAGGCTGCTTAGTCTAACAATAAGATGGGGGTTTTCAAGAATGAGTAAATAAAGAGAGCAAGGCAGAAGCACATGACATTTTGTGAAATATAGCCATTAATGATATATGAAGTCATATATCATCACCTTAGCCTCATTCTGTTGGTCAAGGCAGTTACAAAAGCCCAACCAGGTTCAGGTAGAGGAGTCACAGACTCCACCATTCCACAGGCACAGGGATAGGGTGACATGATAAGGGGAGCTTATGGGATAGGAGGTACTGTTGGACTTCATGAGTCTTGGAGAAAGGAGGGAACCTATTCTGCATGTGGGAGGGATTACTGCAGCCGTAGTCTGCCCCCTGGCTACAACAACTCATATCCCTTCCATGTATAAAATACACACCTCTCTCCAAGCCTCCTAAAGCCTCATCCCATCAAGCTTTGATTGAGATCTGTGCAAAATGTAATACATCATCTACATTTAGTTCCAGGTGCAGGTAAGTCCTTTGCATACAGCTCCTGGAAAACTATTCCTCTCAATCTGAAGACCTGTGAACTAAAGAGACAGATCAGCTGGGCATGGTGGCTCACACCTGTAATCCCAGCACTTTGGGAGGCCAAGGTGGGCAGATTACGAGGTCAGGAGATCAAGACCATCCTGGC